AGAGAGAGAGAGAGAGAGAGAGAGAGAGAGAGAGAGAGAGAGAGATCACCCTGAGATACGCACACCAGTTGCAGGCAAGCGCTCAACATGCAGAGAAATCCGAGAGAGAGAGAGAGAGAGAGAGAGAGAGAGAGAGAGAGGCAAGTGTATGTAGCTTGTGGATGAAGTTTGCTTGTCCTTTGCTGCTCAGGTTGTTCTTTCAACTGGTGGAGGTCAGTATGAAGGCGAAAGTTAGGGACCGAGAGTTCAGGAAGTGTGTGTAGTTTGTGAAGGATTGTCGCTTGCTAATTAGGTCTTTGTTTAACTGGTGCAGATCAGTACGGAGTCGGCAGTTAGGGACAGAGAGCTAAGCGAGGCAAGGATACAACAGGTGCGTTTGATATGGTCATTCTCTTTCTCATCCTCTTTCTCTTATCTGTTTTGCAGTCAATCAATCTCCTTGTATGGCGTGAATTGAGGTCAGGATGCAACAGGTATGTTGAACCTGTTTGTTCTCTTTCTTGTTTGTGGACGCTTGTCGCTCTCTTTTGCTTTCTCCCATCTGTTTTGCAGTGAGTCAGCCTGGGTACATGAAGTCATCATTGAATTGGTGTGTTACGATCCTGGTCATTTCCCAAGTGCAAATTCACAATGAAAGACAATTCCACCTAATTGCGAAAGAAATGAAAGCACTTGCAAGAGATAAAGACCAGAGGAGAGGTGAAGAAGAAGAAGAAGAAGAAGAAGAAGAAGAAGTACACCAGCAAGACCAATGACAATTCCCCCTTCTGTCTCCACCTTCCTCCTTCCTCCTTCTCTTCACCAATCTTATTCTTCCCTCAACAATAATAATAACAATGAATGGATGAACCAGAATCAATGTCCGAAGTTCCCTCTTACTGCTGACTCAACTCACAACCCAACAACAACAACAACAAGTCCACCATAGCTATGCCTTCCTTCCTTCAACCTCCTCTCTCAAGCATAGGTCATGGCGGACTACTGGAAGGCAGCTATGATGCTGCCCTGATGCCCGAAAGACAACCCAAAGCAGCTATGTCGCTGCTTGACTCGGTCCGCTATGCCTGACCCTGCCTCTAGCTGCCCTGGTGCAGCGTTACCCCAACCGGGGCCTTCCAGATGCAGCGCCCAACAAGGTGATGAAGACGGTGTCCACCATAGCCAGGTAAGTGCCCTACCGCTCTCCTACCATGTCCCCCTTCTTCCTCCTTCAAGCTGGGGTGCTCGCCATAGCCAGGCTGAGCCCAAGCAGACCTTCACCTCCAGGCAGCGCTGCCTCAGACCAGCGCTGCGCTCCAGCAGCATGTCGCCAATCCTTGCATACCGCAAATGAGGAAGAGCTCACCGCTCTTCCTGAAGATATAGCGGCCTACCGGCCTCCTGGGCGGTGACTTCCTAGGCCAAGCGGCCTCYCAGCAACCGGTACCTCCTCCCTTTTGGAGGGAAACATCATTGCAGGCTCTGTTATTGTCCGCACAGGCCCTAGACCCGGGCTACTTGGACTGGTACCGGCCTACCTCTAACCTACCGCTACTGGGCCTCTAAAAATGCCAACTTTTTGTCTTCTTCTGCTCGGCCTACCTGCTACTTGAGTGTTTTTTTCCAGCTGCTGCCGTGGGCCTACTCCCCGCTACCGGCATGTTTACCCCCCTGCAACCCTCCAAAGTCACGGCCACAGGTAAGTACCGGCCCGGTGGGCCTTGCAACCAAAAAGAACCCWGSMGGCAYRCACAMRMACWCAWCCGGCAAGCACTCAGACAGGCATGCAAACCAGCAGGCACGCACACACACAGACTTGGGACCACAGCAGAATGCGGGAATCACAGCAAGGCATTCATTCCATTGGCAAATCCCAGAAATCAGCAGTGTTTTCAGTCTGTGTTTTTGGCGGGTCATTACAGGTGTCAAAGTTGCTATTGTGGAGTAGTCATTGCCCTCAAAGAAGTCGATGCCTCGTTCTTCTTCCTTTCTTTGTGGGCAATTTTTGTGTTTTCTGAGATTTTGTAGTGAGATTCTCCTTGTGCTGTGTGGACGAGACCCCATGAGGGTGATCGTTTATCCTAGGGTTATGTTCCACGTGTCTAGAATAAATTACGTGAGAGGCTGGGGAACAGTGGCTGGGTGGTGAGTGTCCAAATCGCTATGGGAATGCCGAAGCACCGTTTAATTCCTGTACTGTGAAATGATATTCTTTCAGCTTTCATTTTTCAAGAGGCATAACGCCTATTCTGTTCATAAGGAGTCTCAAGGAGTGTGAGTCTAGGACCAAAAAGTACACTTGCAGTGTGAAACTACTGAATTGGTTAGCCTCTGCTGTGCACTGTCAGGGCTGCGAGGTGTATCTCAAGACCGTAGACAAGTTCCCCTCGCTGTCCTCCTCTCTCCCAGGAAGTGGTTAAGTCAAAAGACATCAAACTTATGCTGGGATTGTGTAATGGGATTTATCAGGCCTGTGAGGGGTGTTCCACCACCCTTCCTCCCCTACCCCCCGCCCCCCCACAACCCTCCCCCCACCAATTGCTGCCTAGCACAGAGTACGTGCTATTCTTCTCTCTTGAACCGTGAGGGGTGCTTTCTTTTGTTTTAGACTGAAACCAGCAAACCCTGTTGTTTTTGCACAGTTATTCTTGAACCGTTGCGAGGCTGAGAGTTTGTGGCTGATTGTGGTTGCTCTGCAGGCTTTACGGGAGCAGTTGGTGGCTGCTGAGAGGAGGGCTGAGGATGAGAGGGAAGCTCATGCGGCCACAAGGCAGGTTCGGATTAACTGCTTCATTTCTCTTTCCTACCCACAATGTTTCCCCTTTCTGTCTTTTCACCTCCTGGTTTAGTCTTGCCTATCCACTTGCGACATGACCAGCTCTTGATCATGGAGCACGTGCACATGTGGGGGTGCATGCATGTGCGTTGGTGTGTTTGTGTGTGTTCGTTACCGAGTGTGTGTGTGTGTGTGTTTGTGCAGTGTGTTTGTGTGTGTTTGTGTGTGTTTGTGTGTGTTTGTGTGTGTTTGTGTGTGTTTGTGCGTGTGTGTGTGTGTGTGTGTGTGTGTGTGTGCGTGCACATCTGTCTTTCTGTGTGTGTGTGTGTGTGTGTGTGTGTGTGTGTGTGTGTGTGTGGTTGTGTTTTGCTTCAGCCATGTGGATCTTTGCTAGAGGGTGAACTAATGCTCTGCCAGTGGGTTCACTGTTTGGCAGGTCAACAGTCAGCATTGACAGCCACTGGGACCCCATGGATGGGTGGCAAGGCAAACGTGCATGTATTTCAAATGGGCGTAGGCAGCTTAATACTTGTTCACTTATCTGCAGCGAGCCTTCCACATTACTTTGAGATGTTGCCAAAATTATGCCTTTGACAGATAGACTGGTCCGATTTTCAAGCAGGCTGTGGAGGTTTCTGCTGTGGCCCCTTTAACCGTGTTGACCCAGCCTCTGACTGCCAAAATGGCATGTATCTAGGGTACAGCGCGGTGTTTACTAGTTTCGTTCTGGTCAAAATTTCACAGTGTGATTATGCACTATCATGTGCGAATTGCAACATTTGGCTTTCTGGCGAAACTTCATTGTGTGGCTATGCTTTCTTAATATTCTGCCGTCTTTCTTAGTACTTCGTACCAATTTCGTTGGGTACTTGTGGTTGTATTGGATACCATGAGAGCTTGCCATGTGAATAATATTCTTAATTTTTCTTTCTATATTTTGTCAATTCGTTTATGCGGCATGCTTTTGATGTGCCTTCGTGATTCTTGTGGTTTGTTTTCATTTTGGTTGTTCAGGCGGCAGGGCAACGGGAGGCAGAGTTGGAAGCACGCGTGACTGAAGGAGCAGCTGCCTTGACGAAAATGCAGGTTTGTTTATTCTTTCGCATTTGATTTTGGGCAGAAGTTTTGCCCAAGAGCAAACCTGATAATGAATTCATGCTATTTCATAGTGAAAATGGAATCACAAAGCCAAAACTGAGTGCAAAAAAAAACGAAGATAGGGTTAATCAAGTCCTCTGACAAGTGATCTCTGAACATTACAGCGCACCCCCCCTCCCCGGCCCCCACACACGGCACGCGCACATACCCACGACTTCGCTGAAGGATATCGCTAACTTTGGCCATACATTGGTCAGATCCGGACACACTGTGAGATTCATCCTGTGGAAACTGTCTATTACAGTGATGCTGCTTTGCTGGAGTTAGCGTGGAGCATGAGTTGGTGTGAGTAAAGTCGACCACTTCTATCGAGGGCTTAGCTGCATCCTGACCACTTCTATCAAGGGTTTAGCTGCATAATGGGCAGACCGCTGGGGCTCAACCCTCTGATGAGTCGGTGGGCGTTCCCTTTTGACTTTGGATCGTAGCACCCAAAGTCTGTCTGCACGATGCTCAGTTGCAAGTATGGAGTTTCCTTGGAGTTGGTCAAGCTTTGGGCCGCCCTAGCCCATTGAGTGGTCTACCTCTTGCAATGGAGATCACACGTTCTACCTCGATAGATTTTGTGGAAAACCAGCTATCTCCGAGTGTTGATAAGGGGCTGGTACAGTATTGCTCTCGCACCAAGACTGTGATGCAAAGCTACTCCTGAGGGCTTAGGTCAGGGAGAGGTACAGGCTGGTAGGTGTTCCCTAGTAGTGTACATACAGTAGAGAGATGAAGAGTCGTAGAGGTCGATGATGAAAGGTAGAAGGAAAGAGAAGAAAGGATTAGTGTACTGTATGGTCCCAGTGAAGTATTAATGAAGATGCAAAACAACGAGGAAACACGAGCGGCTATAGCTTGATAGGAGATGAGTATACTGTTTGCTCGCAGTCAAGGAGCAATTTTTTGTGGTTTTTGTTTTGTCAGACGTGTGTGTGTGTGTGTGTGTGTGTGTGTGTGTGTGTGTGTGTGTGTGTGTGTG